AGCTTACGTTGTTTTACTTTGCTAGTGGGCTACTGGTCCGAGACTACACTTTTTGAAATCCAAACACCCAGTCCCGACTGTGGCAGTAATTTTTTATCGACTACAAAGTGTAAAAATGTTCTCATTTGTGAATTTACGTTGCAGATGTCGGCAAGTATCATTGAAGAAGGTCGATAGGGAGAAAACGCCCTTCACAGTAGGCACTAAACAATATCCTTTCAAAGGAATACCGTTCAGACTATCAGGAGCAGTTCACACGCTAGATCGAAGCGAACTGATATGTATTTGACAACTTCAAGAGGCAAGATATCAAGCCGGTAAAATCTGAGGACGTTACATTGCGCAAGTTCGGGATACAAACTATACGGATCACAAGTAAGCTCTCGGCTGGATATGAAGTGAAATCCAAGCGGCATGTCGGGGCTTCGCCTGCGGCCCTGGCTTAAGGAGGTTGCTGTCCAAATGGAAAGTAGAAGTAGTAGTATTAGTGTTATAATTCCATAAGACGGTGCTCGGTTGATGGTACTTTTTATTGCAGATTACAGTAAGGATATCACTAACTTAACATACATAACTAGAGGATCGGTGCTATCCTATGTCGCTCCACTCTGCGATCCTCTTGGATTTGTTGCCCCAGTCCTGTTATCAGTCAAATTATTATTACAAGAACTGTGCCGCCTAAAACTAGGTTGGGATGATGACGTGGATAATGCCATCGGAAAACGGTGGATCGAATAGGTACAGCAGTTCTGGGTGTTTGCAACGTGTGCATTGATCGTTGTTTGGTCCCGATCGATGCAGGAAGGGCGAGGCAATACCAGCTGCATGCATTTTCCGACGCATCCCTGAAAGGTTATGGAGCTGTAGTGCATCGTTTCATTAAAACTCGGTAAATATCGCGCTGTTCCTCTAAAAGCAATAACCATAAATAGGCTGGAGCTCACTGCAGCAGTGCTATCCACCAAGTTGATGAGATAAGTGGAGGCTGAATGATCTTTACCGATTGCATCCAAGACTCTTTGGATATGCTCCATGGTAGTTCTCAAGCTTTTACGAAACGAGGATTCACGTTTAGAAAACCACGTAGCCAACCGTATTGCGACTATTTCAAGGTTGACGGACCATTCAAAATGGCGCTACGTAAATTCTGATACAAATCCAGTTGATCTAGCCCCAAGGGGAACAACAAGCGGCAAGTTAACTCACGGGATCTGGTTAACAGGGCCTAGGTTTTTACGAGGGAAGCCAGAAAAATGGCCGATAGAAGTTCACAAACCATGTTCTACATTACTACCAGACATGAAAGTTTCCAATAATGTATTGTAACAAGTGGACAAAGTTACAGAAGAACGTTGCGTGGCTGATGCGATTTTGGGAGCATTTGAAAAATAAATGTGATTCGAATAGATAACCAGGCCCTGAGTACCTTACCGTGGTGGAGTTGGAAGAGGCCAGGCGAGTCATTCTGGTGTTGGTTCAAAAGGAATCCTTCGTAGATGAACTGCGGTTGGTACGCGATAAATCAAAAGAAACCGATTGTGCCCGTCTGAAGGCCATTAGCAGTCGCTTACGGAAGCTCCCTCCATTCAGGGACAAAGGACTAATCAGGGTAGGTGGAAGGCTGCAATTTGCCCCTATCCCTTAAGACACCAAGCATCCCATCATCCTACCGCAAACCCACTTCGTGACTCGTCTGATCATCCAACATGCACATNATGCACATGAAAACAACGGTCACGTTGGTGTATCACAAACTATTGCCACCTTGCGAGAAACTTATTGGATAATAAAGGCCCAATCCGCAATTAAGAGGGTGATCAATTCCTGCTTTCATTGTCGGAGGTGGCACTCTGTGCCCTGTCGTCAGCTCATGCCCCTCCTACCAATAGATCGACTTGAACCGTATAACCCCCTCTTCACATATTCGGGAGTTGATTATTTTGGCCATTTTGAAGTGGAACATGGGAGAAGGTCAGAAAGAAGATACTGCTGCTTGTTTACATGCCTTAGTATAAGGGCCGTGCACATCGAAGTCGTTTCGAATATGGGGACAGATTCTTTCACGTGTGCGTTTGCGAGGTTCGTCGCACGACGAGGATGTCCGAGAAAGCTGTTTAGTGATAATGGGC